TGTCCTCACCATCTGTGAGAGAATAGAATAACAGAAGTTTAGTACTTGGATCAACAGATTCGCACGATAAGAATTCAAGAATATGAAGTTTTTCTAAAGGTTCAGCAGCCTCTCGAAGATAAGTACAGACGTCTCTGTACCGATCCGCAAGACTCTACTAAATATGCTCATGACTCGTGAGACCTATGTAACCTAGGCTCTGATACCAACTTGTCACGACCCTAAACCCGGACCCGATCATGATGGTGCCTCTCGTGAAGACAAGGCCAGTCGACACATTTCCAATCCAGTTTTTAAGCAATTAAGACAATAAGTATTAAGTGTTAAACATGATAGAATCTCAAAATAAGCAGTGAACAGTACAGTTGCGAAAAAACACACCCAACACAGCCTGATATCGGGGTGTTACTAGTAATGAGCATCTAACATAAGTCTAGAAACACAGAAAATGGCCTACACAGTCTATTACAAAATCTAGTACAAGAGAAAGAAATATTATAAGAGGGAGAAACACTAGGCTGTGAACGCCGAGCAGCTACCTAGTGGACTCCGAAAATCTGCTGCAAGCTATCAACTCTCTCTAGCAGAACCTGAAGCGCCTGAATCTGCACACAGGGTGCAGAAAGTAAAGTGAGTACTCCAACTCAGTGAGTAATAATAATAAATGCAGACTAAGTAATAAGAAATCATGAAAGGCACATAACAGGCTATAAGGAAGCAGTAAAAGCTAGTAGAAACGGTGAAGCAGTAAAGAGGTGTAAAGTCACTAAGTTCAGTTAAACTTCATAAAAATGCCTTTTTAACAATTAAGCAAGTAAATGACAGGAAAATAAGAAAGATAAACACATAAAGGATCGCCCATCGGGCTCAATGTCAACAAATCCGCCCCTCGGGCAATATCTCAGAAACAATACCAACCCCTCGGGCTATATCTCACATCACACTAGGTACTCACGCTCACTGGGGGTGTGCAGACTCCTGGAGGGGCCCCTTACAGCCCAAGCGCAATATCAAGTCATCTCGTGGCATAATCAAATAGGCTCTTGGCCTCATATCAACAAGCCACCACGTGGAGTACAAATCTCAGGCCCTCAGCCTCATAATCATAATCAGTGTTTCCTCACAACATAGACCATCGGCCCTACTCAGTCAGAATCTCATAAGCCCCTCGGGCAATAGTAAAACATGATGCTCAGCCCAAAATATCATTTAATGTGTTAAAACAGAGTAGACATGGTCGAGTTATGAAAATAGTAGAAAATAGCATGACTGAGTTCAAGTGTAAAGTCAAAACAGTGAGGAAATATCAGTAAAAATCCCCTAAGGGTTCAAATTGTTGTCACAAGGCCCAAATATGACATTCAGCCCAAAACATGATGATAGTAAATAGGTTTTAGTCAAATACGCGGTAAAACAATCATTTGGGATGGACTAAGTCCCAATCCCCAACAGTGCACGACCCCACGCTCGTCATCTAACGTGTGTATTACCTCAATATAGCACCATGATGTGTAATCCGGGGTTTCATTCCCTCAGAACAATATTTACAATCATTACTCACCTTTATCCGGTCCGAACTCTAGCCCGCGATGCCCTTGCCTCTTGAGTCGGCTTCCGGATGCTCCAAATCTAACCAAAATCAGTACAAAACTATCAAAATATGCTAAGAGAACAAAGCCTACTCGAAAGAAATCAAATTACAACACAAATCCCGAAATTGGTCAAACCCGACCCCCGGGCCCACGTCTTGGATTTCGACAAAAATCACAAAATTAGAATCCTTATACTCTCACGAGTTCATACATACCAAATGCATCAAAATCCGACCACAAACGACCCCTCAAATCCTAATCAAAGGTCTCAAATCTCAAGCCCTAGTTTTTCAATATTAGGCTTAAATTCCATGATTAATTAGATAGAAATCACATAAGAATCAAGTATTAAGTCCATAAATCTTACCTCCAAGTGTTCCTCCTTGAATCTCTCTTCAATCCTCTTCGAAAAGCTCTCAAATTGCCCAAAAATTGAGGAACTTATGCTCAAAATCGCGGAATAGGCCTTTTAAAACATTCTGCCCAGCACTTAAAAATCCTTCATCGCGAACGCGGTCAACGCCTCGCGTTTGTGAAGCACAAATTTGAGTTGACCAATTTTCCTTCTTCGTGAACGCGGCTCCCCTCTCGCGAACGCGAAGGCTCAGCTTCCCGGCCCATCGTGAACGCGGCTTCCCTCTCGCGAACGCGTAGCTCAAAGACCCCAGCCCTTCGCGAACACGGGACTCCTTCGCGAACGCGAAGGCCAATCTTCCAACCTCACATCCTAACCCTTCGCGAACGCAATGACCACAAGCCTCAACCCTTCGCGATCGCGAGACCCCCTTCGCGAACGCGAAGGCCAACTTCACAGCCTCCCAGCCTAACCCTTCACGAACGCGAGGGCCCACTCGCGAACGCGAGGGCCCACTCGCAAACGCGAGGGCCCACTCGCGAATGCGAAGGCCAAATGTCTGCAACACTTCAGCAGATTTTCTGCAATTTTTCCAAAACATGAAATGGTCCGAATGACCACCTGAAACTCACCCGAGGCCCCCGGGACCTCAACGAAACATGGCAACATAATCCATAACATCATTCAAACTTGCTCCAATTTTCGGAACGCTCAAAACAATATCGAAACACCAAATTCGCATCGGATTCAAGCCTAAGAATCCCAAAATCTTCTAAATTACGATTTTGATAATAAAAAAAAAATCAAACCACGTCCGAATGACCTGAAATTTTGCGCACACATCCCAAATGACACAACGGAACTACTACAACTCTCGAAATCCTATTCCAACCCCTATATCAAAATCTCACTTATCAATCGAAAATCGCCAAAATTCCAATTTCATCAATTCAAGCCTAAATCTACTCCGAACCTCCAAAACATATTCCGATCACGCTCCTAAGTCTCAAATCACCTCCGAAGCTAACCAAACCATCGAAACTCATATCTGAGCCCTATAATACATAAGTCAATATCCGATTGACTTTTCCAACTTAAGTTTCCTCAAAAGAGACTAAGTGGCTCAAACCTTACCAAATCCTTTCCGAACCCGAGCCAACCAACCCGATCACACATAGAACCGATAAGCTAAGCAATAAGAAGCAGAAATGGGGGAAACGAAGCGGTAACTCATTAGATGACTGACCGGGTCGTCACGCTCTCTATCCTTATGATTAGTCTAAAGGTTTTGCTTTCCTTTCTTGATTGTGTGATGGTGCTGGGGAAAAAATAAAAAAATAATTTTAAGCAAGAATATTTTTACAATATTCATTAATTTATTTTAAAATCGAGTTTAATTAACTAATATCAGTTATTACTTATTGTATATTTAAGGTTATTTATCGATATTCACCTTTACTAGTGCTATTTAATATAAATCATACAAACTATTGTAGATACCCCAATTTTTTTTCTGGTGATTATAGAATTTTATTTATCAAAGTTGTGAAATATTTACAGCTCAAGACAAAAGAAGAAAAAATAATACTAACTGGACAACAAGTCCCAGATTATTGTGCATCACCGTAATTGATCTATAAATTATATCCCTCGTTCTATTCTAAAATGGTGGACTTTAGAGTATAATGGTTAAACTATTTAATTTTGGTAATGAATACAAAAATAGAATCTTCAAGTTTCTTAATTTTTTTATATATTTTAAAATTATAGAAAAAGTAATATAAATGACAATAGTTAATAACTTAAAATATTTAAAATTACTAATTAAAATATCATGTTCAAGGAAAGACCTCTTTTGACTCTCCTAAATAGTAATAATGTTAGTGTATGACATAACATGAAACAAAGGAAATAATACCAGAATTTTTTAAAAATATTGTGTCTTGTCATTGAATGAATATTTAACTACATTCTTTTAGGAAAAAGGTGAAATTAACTAAACTCACTAAATTATGTTGTAGAATAATGTAAAAATCGATTCAACCTTAATTTGAGATTTTGGATTCAAACCTAGGAATTACATTACTCTTCAGTAGAGAATGCTAAACTTTCGTAATTGACTTTTTAATTTACGACTTAATTTTATATTAGTCGAGCCAGTAAATTTCATAGAAAATAAACCTTTTATGCAGAAGAACACTCACTAAAGCCCACTTTTAAATATATATATATATATATATATATACATATATATATATATATATTCACTACTCAACCATCCACTAACTACAAAACATAGACTTTGTATCCTTTTATTTATCTGCGGCTTTTCTTTTTCTTTGTTTTTCATTGTCCAATGGATTTCTTAGCCCAACACTCACAACAAGAACATGATCAAGATCAAGCAAATTTTTCAAGAGAACTTATGATTATAGACACAAAAAACACCACCAAAAAAGTGGTAGTAGAGTCCAAACACATGACCAAAAAACAACAAACACTACTTCCACCACTAAAAAATATTATATTTTTCTCCTAGGAATTAACTACTTGTGTATTTTTGTTGGTTCAATCTCATCAACCCTACTCTCAGAATTCTACTTCAATCACAAAGGTGCAAGTCGTTGGGTTTATCCTTGGGTTCAATCTGCTGGTTTTTCTTTTCTCCTTCTCCCTATTTATTTACCTTTTTATGTTTTTAAATTCACTGATAGAAACCATTTACTGGTTTCGCTCCTAAAATCTTGTCACTCTCTATTCTCATTGGTTTTTCTATTAGGTTTTAACAACCTTTTATTTTCTTGGGGCAAAATTCTTATCTTCTCGTTTCGACAAATTCTCTTGTTTTATCGTATGTAACAATGGTGAAACTCCTCACTATTTTAATAAGAATCGATTCACTGATTATAACTCTTAAGCTACTGAATTACAATGAAAACTACTGAAATAACAAGAAACTAAGGATAGAGATAAGGATTGGGATGAGAAGATAGATCGAAGAAGGAGATGAGATGCCAGAAGAGTCAGGATGAGAAACACAGAAATGTCGTCGCATATAATTCAACCAACTACTGATAGGGGTACCCGATACTATTTAAGCAGCTTGGATCCCATATTAACAATGATGAAGGCCTGGCCCAATTGCTTCTTCTCGGCCCAATATCTATTTGCGTGTCATCCTTGTTAGTGTCCATATTGGGTTGGGGCCGATTCATAATAATATTCTCGACCTCAATAAGGACCTTGTCCTTAAGGTTCGAACAGAGCAACACTGATATCATAATGACGGGTTCGGCGAGGCACGAATGTATGTCACGGGCAGCAAGATGAAGAACCAGTGCCTAACTCTTAAAATTGTTTGCTGCTCTTTCTTGCTAATACCAATAATGTTCATAGCCATCCTTGTCTCAAAAGTATTCCGAGCAACACGAACAGCTAGGAGTTCATAGAATTTTAAATGGTTGAGATGGTGAAATGATTCTGGATGCCCCAAATTACACCTTTTGATCTCCTCCTTGGGTGCTACATCAATTGTCTTTCCATTTCGGACAAACTGAATCTCCATAAATTCACTTTGATGGTTTGAGTTGGTATTTATAACCATTTTGGTACTGCCAAGTGCGTCAAGAACTGGATATGACTCCAAAACTTGTTCCATGGCCCGTATTTCAATGGTTCTATGACCACCAAAATAGGCAAGATAGCACATAAGCATAAACGTTGTAGTAGTTCCAGTTTTGTCAGTACCATTTTCATCACTAACTAAGACAATATTGCCTTTACCCACAATGATTATTGCCCTGTTATTAACACCAGAACTAGCCATTGAAGATATGTTCACAAATTCAACTTCTGTATCAGTATGCATAGCAAGACTTATAACCATGAGTTCTTGTCCCAACTCCTTAACATGCGCACACCCATTGAAGCTAGAATTATCCGCCTTGAAGAACTAGTAAACAGTTTTAGAAGTGCGCTCTCCATTAAATATTTCCATTGCACCTGCTATCAACCAACTATAACCATGATCTTTTCGATCTAGATTAGAATTCTGCTGCATTATCAGATTATGGTCAGTTATAACCTGCCCTGCAAACCCATACTTGTTCAAGAGAATACCACAAATTAATGCATCGCCTAGGCCATGATGTAATCTATGACGTGAAACCAAACACTTCAATGACACCAGAAAATGTGTAATCAGCACCATGTATTGCTCGAAGCTTCACCTTATATCCATTCCTCAATTCAAATACTTTCCACTCTTGTAACGCGACAACAAGTGCATTTACTACAGCCTGCGTCTTCATGTACTATTGTATGATGTCATAATTTTCTGTACTTAAGTCTTTCATTAGTCTAAATAGAAGTTGCTTGCTCGTCGCACAAAGAGAATTATTAACCCCACCAGGATCAAAGATAATATACAGAGAAGTAAACATTGTTTTATGAACTAGAGCATGTTCTTTTAGTGGAAGTCCACACTCAGACTCCACAAAAAATTTATCAAGATGTGGATCCTCAATATTCTCGGACACCCAAAAATATATATCAATATACATGGCATAACAGGTCACAACACCAAATTCAACTCCACCTAACTGCTCCCAATCAGATAATTTTGCAAATAAACAACTCCAATCTTTTTCCAATTGCGTCAAATAGTGTATGTGCCTCCACGTTTTCTATAGAACCTGTTAAAGGCATGAACTCGGAACTTACTCCATGATCCCATGCACAAAGGTGGGGCAGAGCGACCAGGCCAGACGAAATTTCGGTGGAATTTTGGAAGTGTGTAGGGAGAGCAGGTGGGGAGTGGTTGACTGGTTTGTTTAATGTTATTTTTTAGGCGAAGAGGATGCCGGATGAGTGAAGGTGGAGTACGATGGTTCCATTATATAAGAAAAAATGTGATATCCAGAGTTGTAACATTTATAGGGGTATCAAATTACTGAGTCATACCATGAAAGTATGGAAGAGGGTGGTTGAAGCGAGAGTGAGGATGACAGTGTCTGTATTTGACAACCAGTTCGGGTTCATGCCGGGTCGTTCCACCACATAAGCTATACACCTTGTTAGGAGGTTGGTGGAACTATACAGAGAGAGAAAGAAGGATCTGCACATTGTGTTTATTGACCTAGAGAAAGCGTATGGCAAGGTTCCTAAAGAAGTTCTCTAGAGATGCTTGGAGGCAAAAGGTATGTCGGTTCCTTATGTTATGGCAATTAAGGATATGTATGATGGGGCTAAGACTTGGGTTTCGACAGTAGAAGGGGACTCTGAGCCCTTTCCGGTTGAAATGGGGTTACACCAAGGCTCTGCGCTTAGTCCGTTCTTATTCGTCCTGGTGATGGATGCGATAACAAACCATATTTAAGGGGAAGTGTCAGGGTGCATGCTATTCGCTGATGACATAGTTCTGATTGATGAGTCACGAGTCGGTGTTAACGAGAGATTGAAAGTTTGGAGACAGACTCTTGAGTCTAAGAATTTCAAGCTAAGCAGAACGAAGACGAAATACCTAGAGAGTAAGTTCAGCGCTGGGCCGGGGGAAGTGGACGTGGATGTGAGGCTTGAGTCACAGGTTATCCCAAGTAGAGGCAGCTTCAAGTACCTTGGTTCGGTTATCCACGGGGGAGGGGAGATCGACGAGGATGTCACGCACCGTATTGGGGAAGGATGGATGAAGTAGAGGTTAGCATCTGGAGTCTTGTGTGACAAGAGAGTGCCAACGATACTCAAAGGTAAGTTCTATAAATCGGTGGTTAGATCAGCCATGATGTAACTGAGTGTTGGCCTGTTAAAAACTCACATATCCAAAAGATGAAAGTAGCAGAAATGAGGATGTTGAGGTGGATGTGTGGGCACACTAGGATGGATAAGATATGATGATATTCGGGAGAAGGTGCACGTGGCTCCCATTGATGACAGGATGCGCGAGGCTCAGATAGTTCGGGCATGTACAGAGGAGAAGCACAGATGCTCCAGTAAGGATGTGTGAGCGGCTAGTTATGGAAGGCACGAGAAGAGGTAGAGGGAGGCCTAAGAAGTATTGGGGAGAGGTGATCAGGCAGGATATGGCGAGGCTTCAGATTTCCGAGGATATGACACTTGATAGGAAGTTATGGAGGTCGAGTATTACGGTTGTAGGGTAGGAGGTAGTTGAGTCTTACGTTACTTTGTACCTTTGTGAGCCTAGTCCGGTGGGGTTTTGTCTAAGATAGCTAGGGGTAATGTCGTGTCTTACTATTTTCTATTTTCGACGCATGATCCATTTACTAGCCATCGTTTTTGCTTTGCATTTTTCTTCTGAATTTTATGTTCCTTTTTCCCTATGATCTCCGTGGTGAATCTAATACTCTCTCCTTTTGTCTTTTTTATCTTGAGCCGAGGGTCTTTTGGAAACAGCCTCTCTACCCCTTAGGGGTAGGGGTAAGGTCTGCGTACACACTACTCTCCCCAGACCCCACTTGTGGGATTTTACTGGGTTGTTGTTATTGTATTATTTTATAGGGGGTAGGAATTAGGTTAGGTCAAATGAGGAATGGGTATGGGCTCAATATTTTGGACTATCCGGAATTGGACCTTTTCAATTAAGACCAACAAATTAGCCTCAAATTTCATACTCTTTCTTGTACAATAAGACCAAAAATACTACATTATTTACTAATTAATCCTACTTAAGTAAAATATCTGTTAAAATAAAACTAACCGTTAAAACAAACTTATTTTTGGTATTTTTCAAATATCATACTAAAAGATTAAAATTGAAAAAATCATTGTAAAATTAAAACAATATTTCTGAAAACAAAGTGGAACTATTTTTTTGTATTTTGAATTTTATGTGAGGTAGATAAATTAAAAGTAACTAGATAAAATATTAATTAGCTAAATAAAAGAAAAAAATATATTTTTTGTAATTTTTATTTTTTGTGATAAAATAAAGTAAAAGAGTNAATATCATAATGGCGAGTTCGACGAGGCACGAATGTGTGCCACGGGCAGCAAGATGAAAAACCAGTGCCATAACTCTTAAAATTGCTTCCTGCTCTTTCTTGCTAATACCAATAATGTTCATAGCCATCCTTGTCTCAAAAGTATTCTGAGCAACACGAACAGCTAGGAGTTCATAGAATTTTAAATGGTTGAGATGGTGAAATGATTCTGGATGCCCCAAATTACACCTTTTGATCTCATCCTTGGGTGCTACATCAATTGTCCTTCCATTTCGGACAAACTGAATCTCCATAAATTCACTTTGATGGTTTGATTTGGTATTTATAACTATTTTGGTACTGCCAAGTGCGTCAAGAACTGGATATGACTCCAAAACCTGTTCCACAGCCCGCATTTCAATGGTTCTATGACCACCAAAATAGGCAAGATAGCGCATAAGCATAAACGTTGTAGTAGTTCCAGTTTTGCTGGTACCATTTTCATCACTAACTAAGACAATATTGCCTTTACCCACAATGATTATTGCCCTGTTATTAACACCAGAACTAGCCATTGAAGATATGTTCACAAATTCAACTTTTGTATCAGTATGCATAGCAAGACCTATAACCGTGAGTTCTTGTCCCAACTCCTTAACATGCGCACACCCATTGAAGCTAGAATTATCCGCCTTGAAGAACTGGTAAACAGTTTTAGAAGTGCGCTCTCCACTAAATATTTTCATTGCACCTGCTATCAACCAACTATAACCATGATCTTTTCGATCTAGATTAGAACTCTGCTGCATTATAAGATTATGTTCAGTTATAACCTGCCCTGCAAACCCATACTTGTTCAAGAGAATACTATAAATTAATGCATCGCCTAGGCCATGAAGTAATCTATGATGTGCAACCAACTCTACCACTTCAATGACACCAGAAAATGTGTAATCAGCACCCTGTATTGCTCGAAGCTTCACCTTATATCCATTCCTCAATTCAAATACTTTCCACTCTTGTAACACGATAGCAAGTGCATCTACTACAGCCTGTGTCTTCATGTACTGTTGTGTGGTGTCATAATTTTCTGTAGTTAAGTCTTTCATTAGTCTAAACAGAAGTTGTTTGCTCGTCGCACAAAGAGAATTATTAACCCCACCAGGATCAAAGACAATATACAGAGAAGTAAACATTGTTTTATGAACTAGAGCATGTTCTTTTACTGGAAGTCCACACTCAGACTCCACAAAAAAATTATCAAGATGTGGATCCTCAATATTCTCGGACACCCGAAAACATATATCAAGATACATGGCATAAAAGGTCGCAACACCAAATTCAACTCCACCTAACTGGTCCCAATCAGACAATTTTGCAAATAAACAACTCGTATTCTGTAGAACCTGTTAAAGTGTATGTGCCTCCACGTATTCTGTAGAACCTGTTAAAGCCATGAACTCGAAACTTACTCCATGATCTCATACACAAAGATGTGGTGCAGCTAGGCTAATGGTTATAATACTATGAGAGAGAATGGAAAGGGACTCCTCGGTCTGCGAACGCGGCAGATATACCTCAAAGTCTCTGGAAAATCATCTCGCCTCAAGGGTAGTAGGACTGAGTCGAAGTACCTGGATCTGCACATGAAAAACATGCGCAGAAAGGGCATGAGTACACCACCACAGCGGTACTTAGTAAATGTCAAGCATAACCTCAGTCGAGTAGTGACGAGAAAGGTCAGGGTCCTACTGATTATAGCTGAAAAACGAGGTACAACAGTATAGAATATGATAATATAATTAAATGCTAACAGTATGAAGTAACACAGGATAATAAGAATAACAACTATAACAAAGAGAAAATAATCACAGAAGGAATACAACTCAATACAGATATGACAACCGGGGATCTCTCAGTATCCCGAGGATCTCTTAGTATCCTCAATATGTGTGCTGGGGATCTCTCGGTATCCCGAGGATCTCTTAGTATCCTCAATATATGTGCTGGGATCTCTCGGTATTACAATGAAAACTACTAAAATATCAAGAAACTAAGGATAGAGATAAGGATTGGGATGAGAAGATAGATCGAAGAAGGAGATGAGATGCCAGAAGAGTCAGAATGAGAAACACAGAAATGCCTTCGCACATAATTCAACCTCCTATTGATAGGGGTACCCGATACTAGTTAATCAACCTGGATCCCATATTAACAATGGTGAAGGCCTGGCCCAATTGCTTTTTCTCGGCCCAATGTCTATTTGTGTGTCATCCTTGTTAGTGTCCATATTGGGTTGGGGCCAATTCATAACATCATCGCATTTAGTTTTCACTCTTAGCACTTCCGTAATTATCGTTAAACAAAAAATCACATACGCAAATCTAAATCATGTTATTTTGTTAACACTTAGTTCGGTCTTATTAGCCTTAGGTTCAAACCATGACGACCCAAAAGGTTTGACTAAGTTAAAGTATTTAATAGGATTTTTCTCAAATGTTGGTGATGGATTATTATTCGCTCTTTATCTCTCATTAATGGAAAAAATATATAAAAAAGTTTATTGCTATTCTATGGTTGTGGAAATGCAAATAGTGATGGAATTAGCAGCTACGGTTTTGGCTACGGCGGGAATGACTATAGACAGTGGATTTTCGGAGATGAAAAAAAAGAGTAAAAATGTGTTTGATTTGGGTGAAAAAGCTTACTGGTTAACGGTAATATTTAACGTGGTGATGTGGCAGTTATGTTTTATGGGTATTACTGGGATGGTGTTCTTGACAAGTTCGTTGACAGGTTGACAGGGGGAATTTGCATGACGGCGTTAATGGTCGTTAATGTTTTGGGTGGGGTTTTAGCGTATGGGGATAATTTTGGTGGTACTAAAATAGTTTCAACTTTGTTATGTGTATGGAGATTTTCTTCATATTTATATGGAATGTATATGAAAATGAAGAGGTCGTGAGTTCGAGTCTCCCTAAGAGCAAGGTGGGAAGTTCTTGGAGGAAACAGCTTCTCTATCTCAGGGTAGGGGTAAGGTCTGCGTACACACTACCCTCCCCAGACCCCACTAAATGGGATTATACTAGATTATTATTATTGTACATGAAAATGAAAGAGCAGGAGAAAAAGAAAGAGAGTTCTATAGAAAAGTTGATTAATGATAATCCACATCAGTTCGTGGAAATGACCTAGATTTGTAACACTAACACACAATGGCAGAGGCTAATAGTCACGTGCCAACTTGCTGCTTTTTTGTACTTTGATTATTTTATTTGGTGGGGGACGTGGGGTTAGGGGTGAAAGAGATACTCTACTAAAACCGAAGAATATGAGCCCGCATTGGCTTGTTTTAAGTGTTTTTAAGCTTAAATGGTTTTTTAAGTCATTTTGTAGTATTTGGATAAAGTAAAAAAGTACTTTTAAGCACTTGTTTTTAAGTTAAAATGATAAAAACAAGTCAAAAGCAAAAAGTTAAAATTCCTAACTTATAGCTTAAAAGTTATTTTGACTTAAAGGTAACTTAAAACAAGTCCTTCCAAACCGGCTCTATGCATGATGGTATGGACTCGTGGTGCTGCTCTAACATGCATATTGCTGGGATTAGTTTAAATGGTAGTAATAGTTGTTTCTGTTGCGGAAGCCAAATGTATATAGTGTGAATAAGTCACAACTACTATACCAAAAATTATGACAGCCACCAAATAATAAATAAGACAATAAAGCAACAATAAAGGGAACACCAGAATTTACGAGGTTCGGCTAATTTTGCCTACTCCTCGGACACAACCAATATTTTATTTCACTCCAAAAATACAAGTGAAATAATACTAAAGAGAGAAGATACAATGCCTTAAACAGATGAGAAGGCAAATGAGAGGTGTGTTTAAATCCTAAACATTAAGCCTTCTTTTATAGAGGGGAAATCCCCCCAACCCTTCTCTTCCCACCGATGTGGGACAAATAATTTTGCCCAAATTCAACAAATCTCCACCTTGGCAAAATTCCACATCTTCAATTTTCTCTCAAT